TTTTTTTTTTTTTGTTATTTATTTCAGTAATTTCCACAACACTTCCTACTGTTAACATTCACTACACAATTTATTCTTAATATTTATTAACTCTATTTAATACGATCGCCGTACTAGCGACGTCCAATTGTGGTAACGGTGAGAAATGTATACGAATTAATGGACCGAAACATTTCTTACCTATAACAAATATTTTTATATCCCTTATCTATCTTAATATCCATTTCTTCTTTGTATCATTTCCTTTTTCTCCTATATTCTCTTTTAACCTTTAATGGACCGAAACATTTCTTATCATTTAAAATAATTCTATTAATTCCACAGATTTTGTATTTCTCATATTTTACCTCCCGTTTTGTTTGTTATCTTTTCATCCGTTGTTAATATACTCTCCTGTTTTAGTCATATGTAATTTCCATTATTATTCATCGTTATTTCTATTCTTTTTATCTGTAGTGCATTTGTAGAGTAGTACCTCACTGGAATCAAACTTGGAAAGCCTTTCGCAAGTACTGGAGACCGATTTGGATACATACAAAGAGCATATTATTGAAATTTTGGTTGCTTGGTATGTTTCTTTATTATATTTCTTTTCTTTATATTTCTTTTTATGCGTTTGGTGCTGTGTGACAGCGTTACAAAACGCATATTGTCACGGGGTTGTCTGTGTGTGTGTTTGTTTGTTTGTGTGTCCCACATTTTGTCTCGCACTTTCAACTCGGAAACCACAGAAGCTAGGCGGCTGAAATTTTGGTATAAGTCCCCCGCCAACGGGGGACGCGGCAAATTTAAATTTAGCCTTCCCGTACCCGCGAGTAACACATACGGCTCCATGAAAGTTTTTTACGAGTAAATTAATATCTCAAGAATCACGGTGTCTAGGAGGCTGAAATTTTAGGGTAATGACTCCTTACCCACGCTCGACCTTGCCCATTCAAATTCATCGTCCCCTCGCTGTTGAGTATCACCTACGGCCTCGTGAGAATTTTGACGGCTGAACTATTAACTCGGGAATCACGGAAAGATATTTACCCTTCAAGGTTTCGAATTCAGCTTTCATGCACCGGTGCA